AACAATCGAGCAAAGTTGAGAAACAGCTCCAGAATACCGTGCTCAACATTTCCATCGAGAATGCATCTCATTGGTCCATTGCTGACCAATTATATTTTACCATGTGTGGATGCCCCTGGGCGTTTTCTTTCTAATGGTGAAAACCACAGGTCGCTAGCTACATCCGTTCAGGAGATATTCCTCCGTGAGTTTTCTCCATCTACTTCTGGCGCCGACATTAGTTCTATGAAACTATGCCATAAAACAATGAAAAGTAAAATTCATTTCGATTTTGCATTATGTGCATCTAATTAACATAAAATAGAAAAAAAAATTTTAAAAATATTTCTTATTAGTGTTAATTATTCGAATCCAACTACTGCTCCATTTAAAGCCGAATGGGATACACAATTTAAAGGTCTTTATGGATCTATTCCACTTCGATGTTATTCTTCTGATGGACGTTATCTTCTTCTTTCTTCATTATGTGGTTCACGAAATGTTTTATATATTTATGATTTTACTGAACAAAAAATGATATCTCTTGATTCACCATTAGGTGTTAATACATCGATGATTGGTCTTGCTATATTTGGTCATTATGTTGCAGTTAATATTGTTGATTGTCGTACACCATTTCGATTATATGTATTCGATTTAAGAACATTAGATAAAAAAGATAAAGATACTAATGATTGGAATTTAATTGTTGAACATGAATTTAAAAAAGAAGAAAAGAATAAAATTGAATGGAATCTTGATCGATTCTTTCCTGATAATGAATCAATTCCTGTTGAATCGATTTATGTTCATGTACATGATACACAATCGAAACGACCATTAATGGTTTTAATACATGGTGGGCCGAATTCGGCTGTTACTTGTAAGTTGTTAAGAATCTTTTTTTTTTGTTAGACTAAATTTATGATTAACATATATTATTTTAGTGAATTATTATATTGGTGTTGTTGCATATGTTTCATTAGGTTTTGATATGCTTATTGTTAATTATCGAGGTTCAACTGGTTTTGGACAAGGTAAATAAATAAAAATTCAATGAATGTTGAATATCAAATTCTTATTATTCTAGCTTCAATTGATAAATTATTGGGTAATATATCAAAAACTGATGTTCAAGATTGTCATGAAGCTATACGTCGCTGTCTTGAATATACAGAATCAAGTCGACCAGTTATACTTATAGGTGGATCTCATGCAGGTGTAATTATTGGTCGTCTTATTGGAGAATATCCAAATGAATATGCAGCTGCTGTCTTACGAAATCCAGTTACTGATCTTCTTCATACTTATGCTACATCGGATATACCTGATTGGGCTCTAGCTCAATCCGTCAATGGACAATTTGATTTTGAAACAGGACGTAATCGTTTTGCAGATACATCATTTGTTACATATCTTATTGAAAGGTCATCAATACGTCTTATTGATCAAATAAAAACACCAGTTTTATTACAATTAGGCAAGAAAGATAAACGTGTACCATATAGTATGGGTCTATGTTATTATCAATGTTTGAAAGCGAACAAAATTCCAACGAAATTATATGTTTATGATAGTAATCATGGACTTAGTGAAACATCTTGTGCTAGTGATTGCTTTGTTAATACAATTCTTTTTATTCATGAACATTTAAATTTATCATCATAATCATTATCATTTTTAGTCTTATAGATCACTATAGGGTGTTTTTCAAAGTAGCACTAAAATTTTGAATTATATATTCAAGACATATGGATTTCTTTTACATGAAAATAAATATAATACGAGTGCATATTTCAAGTTGATTAGAAATTTTGATAAGATTAAATAAAAACATGAAAATAGAGAGATATTTTTCATTTTATTTCATTAAATGTTCAAAATATTTGCTATATTTATTTACATAAAGTTCTATCCTTTCTAATACTTTGTCAAATATTTGGTTTTCAACTCTTCCATTTGTAATATTTTTAACTATCTTGAAAATCATATTAACCAATGATTGTTCATTTACTCAATCAATTAAATTACGCTTGATATAATCATTGAGTCAAAAGTCACATGAAACTTGTGCCCAACTGTGTCTATGATAAATCAATGTCTCATCACCTGTAATGATACTACATAATCATCATTATCCATCATAAAATATCCCAAAAATTTCTAATTCGTTCTTGCTGTTGTTCATCATTGAGATACTATAGTACAACTTTTTCAAAAGAAACTGGGTGGTAGTTTCTCGATAGTATCATCATTGACATCTTCTCATCCATAATGAAAACGCTTTGTCCACCTTGAAATAGTTGGATATAATGGAGTGTTAAGTCCCAATGCTGTTTTAAGTTATTCATGCATTGTCTTTGTATCTATTCTCAAAATAGTCCGAACTTAAACATAGAATTAATTGAATTCATTATCCATTTTTCAATTGTTTGGTAGGAATGGAATTATATTGAAAGAATATTAGAATTTAGGCTAAACAAATTTATCATATATAATATTATAGACATATCAAAACTTTTGGTAGAACCTAAATAAAAAAGTGATATTTAAAAAAATAAACGTTAATGCAATTATTCTTTTTTCTAAACTATGAAAAAGTATTCCGATTGTGTGAATTACAATGTACCGTGCTCATGAAGACAAATGACGTGCAATAGTATATAAATAGTAAAAGAAAAATACAACGAAATAACATAGCCTTCATATTGTTTCACTTGAACTTTGTAATCTACGTCGGTTATTCAAAGAAATCTATCTATATATTAGGCGTTGTGTAATTAGATATTTCAAATAAGAAAAAGTAATAGTCTTTTTTGAAAAGTGCATTATTTTATGATCTCATCGGACGAAAACTAGTACAAATATATATTCCATGTTTTTTTTCTTTCTTTAGAACGATGTTCAACACAACATATGAAGTCAATAGAAGTCAAGTATTCATTATAGTAGTTCCTCGAATAGTTCATTTTTGGGCTATGTTAATCATTGAAATACCATCATTACTTTGCACTCTTTTCTTGCTCTATTATTTGTTTTCTGATCGAACACTTCGATTAGCTTTACACAATCATGTCATTATGATTTTACTTGTTTTGACTCTTGTCTATGAACTTATTGCCATGCCATTGTATTTAAATTATTTTCGTACTGCTACCATTTGGCCATCTTTACCTGGGATTTGTCTAATGATGTGGATGATCGGATTTGGGTGTTATAATACATGTACAATTCTAGTAGCATGGGCATCAATTGAGAGACACATTCTTGTTTTTTACCATCGATTATTGACCACTCGAATCCAACGCATATTCATTCATTATCTACCTCTAGTTGCTATTTTGACTTACACAACTGTCTTTTATGTCAAAGTTATCTTATTTTCCAATTGTGAAAACAGATTTAATTATAGTTTAGAATTATGTGGTGCAAATCCTTGTTATCAAACTGATCCATTTCTTGCCATGTGGGATGTTCTTCTTAATGGTGTCATTCCAACATTTGTTATTGGTTTATTCAGTTTAATTTTATTACGTCGTGTTATTCAACAGAAACGAACAGTTGGTTGTCGACTCGAATGGAAAAGATATCGTAAATTAACTCTTCAACTTCTGTCAGTTGCTTCACTTCATTTTTTCTTTGATTTTCCATTAACACTCGTCAGATTTGTTCAGTTAACTGGTCATCGTGGTTGGGCAATCGAAATTGAATCTGTTTTCTTTTTCACATCTTATTTTGTTTTGCTTCTACAACCATTTGTTACTTTGAATTCAATACCAAATATTGGCAAGAAGTTTAAAAAGCTTATGTCTAGACAAAGAAGATCAACTGCTATTCCATTAACTAACACAAAAACTAATAGACGTATTGCCATAGCTCCTATTGCTTAAAATAGATGAACTGTAAAAAATATCTGTATTAATTATCAATAAATATCATTTATCTTTACACTTATATCTATTTAATCAAATATTTCTGTGATACATCGCATTAAGTTATTAACCCATGTCGTCTCTTTGATGCATTGACTCTAATGAAAACTACTGCTAGAGACCACGGTTACCACGATGCAGATTTATGAATTATTAATAGGTCATAGTAAAAATATTAATAAAATCGAAACTTGACCTTAGATTCGAATTTTCCACTTATGATTACCGTTTGGAGAAGTTTCGTGGTATGGATGTATGTGAGTGATCCATACTTCGAAACTACCAAGGGACATAGACAACACAACAATTTGTGGAGAAATGTGTTGCAGTTATGCACAACTGCAATTTTGTTTTACCGTAGCTACGTGTAACTGCATCGGAATTCAATTATAATCGATCACATTAGAATATTTCTAGTAGATCAACGTGATATTCATACAGATGTTTCATATGCAAGGTGCCAATCAGTATTACTTATATTTTTTATAATACAACGGTTAGATATCGTTGTATATCTGTAGTGGTTGATATTTTTTATCAACAATGTGGAGAGCTCTATTGTTCAGTGTTCATTAAGAACAACAAAGAAATTTTTAATATATGGATAATAACAACGATGATGACATTTTCAAAGTTCACCATTAGATGTTTTCAAAGAGAATATTAAGGGTGTGGGTGTAGGTTAGGATGAAAAATAACCACACCGACACGTACATTCCACGCCCACTCCCACAGCCTTTTGTTGCTAGTCTTTCCTTGGCTGCAAATATGATCGGCCAATGTCTATTCACTGCATTTGCCTATGCATCACGTGACTGGCTTAATCTCAAATGGCTAACGAGTCTCTATTTTCTTCTTACAGTTCCTTATCTCTACTTTATTCCTGAATCACCTTATTGGTTGTTTAGTCGAAAGAAATATGATGAACTCGAAAAGAATTTAAGGACAATTGCAAAAATCAATGGACGTGAAGAAATTGAATGGTATCCCTATTATATTAAATTAATAGACGAGACTACAGCATTAAACAACACTATCAATATTGTAATTCGAAGAAAGAGGAAAAGAATTCTACGTTACTTGTCTAGATTGGTTGTTTATAGTTTTATTAAATTTGCTACTATGTTATTATATATCAAAATTTCGCATGGACTCGGCGACATGCATGAAGTATTGACTCCTTACACGAATTTTATTATGAAAGCTCTCGTTGAAGCTCTTGGATACTTAGTCGCATGTCTCTTAATTATTACAGCATTAGGAAGAAAATATTCACTGATGACATTCTCATTATTAGCATAAGTGTGCGTACTTGTGATACCATTTATTGTAGATTCTTATCCTGTTATTGATACCATTATTTTACAAATAGGTAGATTCTCCATTAATGGTACTCTATCAGGTTCGGTGCTTTATGTTCCTGAACTTTTTCCAATATCGATTCGAGGTTTGGCCGACGGCATATTTTTATCTACCGTTAGTTTTTGGAACGTTCGTAGCACCTATTGTTGATACTGCAGTCAGCGACAGAAATAGACGAATTACATTTTATGTTTCAGCTGGATTGACTCTACTATTGACTGGTTTAATTATTTCTTTACCGAAAACACGTAATCGATCGTTTGATGATGAAAAAGAATATAATGATATAACTGAAAGAAATGATAATATTGAAGTTCATAATTAGATAAATCCAGCTGATATACAAAGCAATGTTTACATTAATGAGATATGATCTATATTTTTAACTTTCATATGATTTCAAAACATTTAACAAATGAATAAAAGATTGATTCGTATTTAAACTAGTTTTGATTATTTCTTTTTTGCATCGTAGTCGGTAAAAAGAACTCCACCATTTGTAGTTTATATTCATAATAAAAGTCTTCATCGTGATATTTAAATCACTTTTGTTCCCTACTGTGATCAATTCATTGCCCTCACATTGTGTCTCAATTCTAATCTTTCGATTTATATCACGCATGCTGACATTTTTCTGTGAATATTTTTCTGATCTCTAATCTATCTTATATAATATTCAGTTTATTAACTTAATTGTCATTTGAATTGCATTTTCACATAAAAGTTAGAAATTCATTGAATTAGGATTTTAATATCAGTTTACTTACTGCACTTTAGTTTTTTCATTAAAAAAAAAAACATTTTTCGCAAGAACCAAATGCTTCAGTAAAATTATTCTGAATTCGATTTATCCGTAGCAAAAAAAATTAGAAATCTATTTATTAAATCAAATTAAAATCAGTACATAATCGTAGAATTTTATTAATAGAAATCAATGTCTAAAGTTTAATAATGTATTTTCGCAGATACTTTACATTCGCAATAAAATTTGACATACAAGTTAATAATTCAGAAGGAATAGGTTGATGTTTGGTTCAATAATATGGCACCGTTCAGGATCGTAAGCTAATCGGTTTGCAAACCGAAGGCCTAAAGATCAATACGCGATGTATTCTTTTCTCCTTTAGTTTGTTTAGAAATCAAATAACATCCTTACAGAATCCTAGAGAAATGCTGTTATCATATTACGGTAAAATTTCACAGATAAATTTTTTTAATGCTATTTTATTTTCAAAATATTTTGATAAATTTTCAATCTCAACATTAACTAATTTCACCTCGATCATTTTCAACTAAAATATTTCCAAAAAAAAGATTTTTTTTTATTATTCAAAGAAAACAAAACAATTAACCATTTTGATTGATTTTATAATTTATTTCTTCTGTATGTTGACAAATTTTTTTTGCATTAAAACCAAACCAATATGTCTTTGTAAAAGGATAATACCATAGTTGTGAAATTCTATATTCACCTAAATATTCAATAGAATAAACTCAATTGTATTTGTTAATATTACTGGGAAAATACATTCTCAATATAAACAGTTAATAACATATAACTAAAGTACAGAATCGATTAACATCATTATAATACAATAAAGAAATGTAAAATTATCATTAGGTTTTACCCCATTATTTATATTAAACCATTGAATACCTTTAACCATACCTTCAAATCGAGTGATATAATCACAACCAAATCCAAAAGCAACGGTTGATGATAAACACTTTAAAAAAACTTATTAATTTTTTAAACTTGAATATCATAATTAATTAAAACAGACAGACGCAAAAGAAAAAATATCAAGAAGATGTCAATTAACACGAACTGATCTGATGAGAAAAGGTCACCAACTATTCAATAGCTTTTGAGTCGAGACTATGTGCATGATGTAGTCCCTAATGAGCTATGAAGATTCCGAAAAGAGTTCAAGTCTTTAGCTTATTGCTGGTGGGGATAATGCATTTTTACGGTATTTTCTAAACAGAATGTCGTGGTCCTTCTTAGAAACAAGAGAAAAATTGATTTTCGAATTTCGACTTGGAATTTTGCACAGACATAGGCCTTAACGGTAATAGTTTACTGTAAAAGTTTCAGATCTTTTCGTTTTTCCTATCCTAAGATACGGCCATGACAAAATCGTGTCTTTTACATCTCTCATATATACGGTCAAATTCGATGTTCGTATACCAGGATTGGAACAAACCAAAAAATCTAAAACTTTTACAATAAACTTCCCGTTAAAGCATCTCTCTATGTAAAATTTTACGTTAAAATGCGAAAATCAGTTTTTCTCGTGTTCCTGAGGGGACCACAGTATTCTATTAAGAAAACGCCGTAAAAATGCAGTATCTTATCAGCAACTAGCTAAGAATCCAAACTCTTTTCAGAGTATTTGTAGCTCATTAGAGACTACATGATGTACATAGTCTCGATTCAAAAGCGATTATACAGTTAGCGATCTTCCTTCGTGAGTTTAATGGTTCCCAAAATTACCCGGATCCGAAACAGGTAAATCATCAAATAGATGCAAAGGTTTTTCTATGTTTTAAGAGATTTAGACTCTTTAATTTTTGAAATTAAAGACACTATACACTTCATTATTTAAATAAAACACTATTATATAAATTTGCTGAAATATTTAATCTTAGCTCTTTAAGAGTCGAGATTTCTCAACATATATTCGAGAAGTTTTGCATCTAGTTGCTGATTTTTACAGTTTCGATTCCAAGAAATTTTAAAAAGCGGGTTCTTGTTCAGATTAATCTAATTCCGTTTATCATTTACTCGTTTAATTATTCTGAAAATTTTATTTCGAATCTAAACAAGAAAATTTTTATCTATGTTTACCTTTAATAGTAATACAAGTAAAAATGCTGTAAACATAATAACAGTTGTACATAAAATAAACTCTGTAAACCAATGAACAGAATCCTTTAAACCCATAATTTTCATAATTTCTTTTAATTGTCTTTAAAAAAAAATCATTTATTATACTTTTTTTTTTTTTACATATTTTCTTACTTTTCTTTTTCATGAACAATATCTTTAACATTCATTGATACTGTAAATATCCAATTTAATACCATTAATAATAGTAACATTCGACTAATTGAATTAACAAATCTAAAGCAAATAATCATTTATTAATTAAAGAAAAGGCGAAATCTACTAACATACTTATCATTAATCGAATATGGATAAGGCATTTGTTGAGTTTGTATTCCATATGGTATATTTTTCCCTGTTTGTACACTAATAATAGAACGTTCAATAGCATTTTGTAAATAAATAAATGTATATGAAGGATATTTTGTTGAAATTGGTGCAATAACACGAGGTGCATATGAAAAATCATTATAAAAAAACAAATAAAAATTTCAAAATTTTTCTTTTTTTTTCTTTGTTTTACCGATCTTGAGTTTGAAATGTATTATCAGTATAATCAAGTGCGATTCTTATTTTATATCGAATATGTTTTGGTAAACTATCATTATTTGTTAAATCATCCATAAATTCAATCGCAGCTAAAAAATTATTTGTTACAGATTTATTTTGTCCTTCGCGTACAATATCTAATTCACTATTCATTGGTATAAAACGATTACGTTCCGAACAAGCAATAAAATCAGTTAAAATAGTAAATAAATTAATTGATGTTTGATACGTTTTTATTTGTTGACAAATAAATAATGAATCAGAAGATAAATTACAGAATGATTTAAATATTTTATATGTTGGTTGAATAATTAATTCTATTTAACGAAATAATCGAACTAGTTCATCTAAAGATTCAAATGTTTGATTGATTTGTTTTATTATATTATCATAATGAATATTTGATGGATGATAATAGATTTTTCCATATAAAATCGGACGTAAAAGTGTTGCAAATTGTTTTAATAATTTATGTGAATTTAATAATTGATCAAATACTGCACAACGACATGAACGATTAACGGTTACAACTTGCATTATATTACCGATACCAGTTATATATCATTGTTTACACATTTGAGATTCACCATAAGAAAGTAAACTTTTGCTAATTTGTTCCCATTAATATCAAATAAAGATTGGCTATTTATTGAACGTGTTTGATTGTTTTCAGTATTTAGAGATTTATTTGGATAAAAATAACGTGAAAGATCATTACGATCACCACATAATGAAGTTAAACTAAAGTTTAAATGAAATTTTAAAAGGTCTTTGATAATATTTAACCTTAATGATGTAATCTAAGGGGAAAACAGCTGACTCCAGACAAAAGAATCACCTGAAATTAATGGAGTCACTCGCATCTGCTCGAAACCGTCTGAAGCCAATTAGAAATAATATGAGATACTAAGTTTAGCAGCTCAAAATATTTTCGTGATAACAAGGGAGGAAAACAGCTGACTCAGTTCACTTCATCAACTCCATTGACTACATAATTTTCATTATTCCACTGAAGTTCATGGAGTCAGCTGTTTCTCTTTGATGTAACCTCAGTTTTGTTCATATCGGACGACTATTAAAATTGTCAAGATATTCGGCCTCGAAATAAGCTTCAAATGCATAATATTCAATTACTTATATTCCTAGGAAATGTTTCTATCACTAAATTAACTTAGTCTTCGTTCCGGTTCTAATAAAATATATTTATAAATACAAAATCAGCGAATCACGATCTTATATTACAGAGATGAAAATATCAAGTAGTAATAGTCGATACAATTTGATAGTAACCTGTGATAATTATTTATAATTAAATGAGAAAAGCTAATCAACCAAAGTCAGTATTATGTTAAACTCAGTTCTTGCAGATGTTACCTAATACTGCTATTAATTCCATCAAATGGAAAGCTAATATTAAGTATTTTCCATCGAGTACGAAGTTCTTCCATTGTATCAATGATCTACAAGCATAAATTTGTTTTTTAAAACTCAATCAATAAAACAAATCACCTGTAAACCATCAATAGTAGGATTAATCATATTGGGTATTGTATCAATCTAAACAAAAAATTAAATAAAACGATTTAATTAAAACCTTTTTTTCTTTACCAAAAAAATTTCATCAAGTTGTTCTTGAACATTAATTAAAAACAATTTTAAATCATTTATTGATAAATTATTACATAAAAAATCAATTCTTTCAATTAATTCTGATTGATTAACTAAAAATGTTCTATTAAATTCTCCATCAACACAAAATGCTTATTTAATATTTATATTCAATTGATAAAACTAAAATAAATAAACAACTATAATTGAAAATTTATTTTTAATTTACATAAGAAAAATTTTTTTTGTATAGATGCAAAATATATTTCCATTGATAAATTTAAATATGATGAACAATTTTTAGTTCCATTCATAAACCATGTTTGATGTAGATTAATTAAATTAACTGGATTTGTAAAAAGTAATGAAATTATTTGTACTTTTATTTGCCCTAATAGAACCGTTTTTTTAAATAACAAAATCAATATTTAACATTATTCAAATATATATTCTTACCATTCCAAATATCTGTAAAGTTTTTTTAATAAATTAAATTGAGAAAAAAAGTTTTCTTAAATAACCGGATGTTTCATTACTGTTTAAAATAATTGAAAGGCTTCCAGCTAAATTTAAAATTTGTTTTCAAAGTCTTTTCAGTAAACAAAAAAAGAATTAAAAAAATTTAATTAAAAAAAATACAAACGAGGAATTTTCATTAAATTCATCCACTGTTTTCGACTGATTATGACATGGATTATTCCATCGACAAATATAACTTTGTAATGCAGGTAAAAATCCCGTTGATTCAAGTATTGTGATCATTATGACCTGAATAAATCGATTTAAAAATTCTCCGAAACAAAAAAAGATTTATTTCTTACAGGCATTATAATAAAATGTTAAATTTCTTGTTCGTACCCACATAAGAATAAGAAATAAGAACAATGGCCATATTAATTCTAATATTACTCGAGGCTAAATAAAATAAAATAATAAAAATTTGATTTATTTATTCGATTTTTAATAAATCCATCGTCGACGTCGGAAGGTAAAATTTTTCCATAAAACTAAACGAATTTGTCGACAAATACTCATTCTATCATAATCACTAGAAAAGAAATATTTCCTCAGTAGATTAAATTACATGTGTATGACAAATTGTTCTATATGGCTCAAAAATAAAGATTATTATTTTCTTATATAATATCAACGAATAATTTTATTTATTTAATAAGAAAAGACAAATTTTTAAACATATTAATTCTTGATTAAAGTTATTAAACATTTTAGTTCTTATTTAAAGTAATTAAAGCGTTTTTGAAGGTATTTTTGCATTTTGAGAGAAGATTCATTTCGTCTCCGTAATCTCTAATAATTTCAATGTATTTGATATTCTCAAATAAAGACATTAAATGTATGTTTTGTAAACATTCCAATTCAAAACAATCAACTATTGCCCATGAGTCTAATTTAAAACATTTAATATTCGGAAATAATAGAAGAAAATATATATGATGTAAATCACATGTTCTACCATAGTAGCATAATGTTTTTATTCGTGTCAATTTTATTTTATTATTTTCTTTGATTATTTCACTTTGTAAATTACATGTGTCCCAAGCGACATATATTTTTTTTAAATTTATTAATTTTTCATTAATAAAATTTAACAATTATATGGTGATTTTTGTTGAAGCTAAACGAATTGATATAATATTGGTAATTTTTAATGGTGTTGTTATATTTAATCGATAATTAACAATTTCATTTGTTATCGGAAATGATTCTATCGAGATCCATGATAAAGTAAAAATAGTAAAACGACGAAAATGTTGTTCACAGTAACAAAAAACCGGATGAAATGTCCAATATGATTTTGAACAAAATGTTGAAATTAATTTATTTAATTCTATGAGAAAAACAAAGAGAAGAATTAAATAGATTCATAAGAATTTCAATAAAGAAAATATTTCTGTTAAATGAGACCATTTTCAATGCTCTATACCGGATTTTGGATAGATTTTACTTATAAACTATCACATATCTTTTTTTTTCTTACCAATATTAATGTCAGTATTTGTATAAATATTATTATAATATAATTGAAAAAAAAATGAAATTTTCTCAAATAAGGCATTATCGATATAATTGTCGCTTCAAGAATATCACTATTAATATGATCATTAATGGATAAGTTTAACTTTAATACTTCAATCGATTTTTGAAACCACCAAATGAATAGAAAACTTTCAGATCCGAATCCTAGTCAAACCCAACCGAGTTCGGAACCAATCCGATGGGCGGCTCTAGTCCAATATGCTTCGCATTAAGAACAATTATCACCAATGAAAGTCAATTGAGTAATACACTTCGATATATTTTCAATTATTAAATTAGTGAACATCTTTTGAAAAATTTTGTAATTATTAGTTTTGTGTGTTGATGACATNTATATGTGCTCATCATGCAACTCCATACAAAAAAGTACAGAATACTCAATTACGAGCAAAACAAATACGTGACGTTATTGATATATTAGAGCCACTTAATCATCCGTTTATTATTATGGGTGATCTTAATCTTTATTATGAATTTGAAGATGCAATTGTTATTGATAATAAATTGATTGATGCATGGGCACAAACACATTTTTCTGATAAATATCCATTTAATGATAAAAGCATTGGTTATACATTTGATGCATTGAAAAATACTTTAATTCCTTATTATATACCTGGAGCATGTAGACAAATGCGACTCGATCGAATTCTTTTTTCTCATGGATTTCCAGCATTTGCCATAACACCATGTAATATGTGGGCCAATGAACCTATTAAAGCTGACAATTATCTATTTCCAAGTGATCATTTTGGACTATTTATTGATTTTGTTCTCGAAAAAACAGATAATAATGAACAATCGGAAACAACGATGATGTCATTGAGTAAACCAGATCCATCGGCTGAAGAGATTCTACGTCATAATGCACAGAATAATAATGATCAAAGACCATATCGTCTTGGATTAATACGAACAACAAAAGCATTAACATCTCATGTTTTTTGGCTTGGAGCTGTAGCTCTTGGTCTTAAATAAAAAACAACACAAAGTGTTTGAATTGCACTGAATTCATTATTTTGAATTTTTTTAATAATTAATACATAAAATTCAATTTTCTATTTCTTTATTTATTAAGATATTTACCTAGATTTGAATTATGTTCAATCAAAGTTTATATTCAGTTTATACTTTAAAACTTTCATTTATCGAAAATTCGAACTAATTTTTGTACTATGAATATCAATAGATCTTCATTTTATATGAATTGTATTTTCAACATTTATCTTTCTATTAATATTTAATTCCGAAGCAATTTATCAACACTTTAAATGTTATTTTATCAGAATGTCTCAGAATGCTAATATGATAATAAGGTCGAGTTCATGCTGCATCAAATATATTTGAGAATCAAATATGAATTTCTTTCACACGATCGAAACATATATGTAAACTTGAGTTCGCACAATGATCTACAGGCAAAGAAACACTTTTCTGAATAAGCAAAAATGGAAAACTAGATTCAAAATTGCCACAGATTTATAATACTAAAAGAAAAGAAATGAAACTTCTATTTTATTTAATTTTTTTCATTTGTAACAGTCGAATATAAGCCATAATCGCATACCACGTAAAACTTTCTCTGATGGATAATATTTTGAAATAAATGTATAGGCATATATCCATGTTTCCTGACTTTCATTATTTGAACATAATTCATTAAGATTTTTCCATAAATAATTGAAAATTAAACAGAAAAAATTTTCGCGTAAATTAGAACGTGTAATATTTTCTTTATTGACTAATTGATCGTAAGATAATCTGGTAGAACTAATGAGATTGATTATTCGAAATGCCGAATACATGGAAATAAGATCATGTTGTTCATATTCAAATAAAGTATGAACATGCGCAAGAAGCCATATATGTTTATTCGGATAACTATCTAATGATTGACGATCATTATCATCCATAAGTAATAACCAACGTGACATAAATTCAACTGCTTGTTGACATTCATCTCGATTATTATCAAAATTATTTTCGACAATAGTACAAAATGTTCGAACAAGGTCAGCTGAATAAGAATGGACAATATGTTCAGAAATGATATCAGTTAGCACTTTATCACTTAGAATAGAATGAATTAACTTGCTGCGATATTCTTCAAATGTGTGTTGAGTCGTTTCATCCTCGTTTTCATTATTATAATCCGTAGTCGTCATCGGTGGAGCCGGATAACAATCACGATGTAGGCCATCTTCTCTTTCTACAGACAAAAGAGGTATTTAAATGACGAGTCTTTTCTATTTGCAAAGTATTCCTCACTGAATAATATGTGAAATTACAACAAAACGAAAAAGTGATGCGTCCATAACAATAAAATTCAAAATCTAACCTTATCATTGTTTATCGATTGAACAGAATCAGTTAAACAACATATTCAGCAAAGAGAACTGAAGCATCTGTTGTGGCAGACATACTACTAAGAGTCCTTTGGTAAAACGACATACCCCGTAGACATTAATATTCAAAGCGTTCCCGTGCTATATTTTGATGAATAGGATTACTGTCTGTTTTTGCACCATATCTCGTCCTAAACAGATCTATATAGTGCAGACATAATGAAAGACTGCTAGGACAATCCATGCAGGATTAAAATGTGAAACACGATTTCGCTGCTTTTGATATTCACAAGAAGACTACTTTAATCTGTCTATTCTGCGGTACATGTTCTTATCCTCATTTTATTTATTCCTTCAGAACTGAAATCAGTAAGTCCATAGCTCGTGTATTATAATAAAACTTTATTGATGTACGATCTTTGATCGTATATGAACAACGTCTTGCACAGTCTGCAGTGGGGTCCCAAGATGTCTGTCACGATTTCTGTAGACAGAAAGGATGGCTCGCTTTTCTCGTTATATCTTTCAATACTCTTTTTATTAATTATTTATCAGGAGGTAATTATTAACCCTTTGACGGGCGAATTTTGGATTGCTAAGTTCTGTTGATGCCGATGACGCAGTCGAATACATCGTAATCTAGATCATCATACAGGAGGGTGTAGGTGTTCTTGAGTATGAATAAAAGATTCATGTTCACATCCACGCTCATACCCTTGTTTTGTATCAAGCAGATGGTACAACTACCACGTGTTATACAAAATAAGCAACGTGATCACTGCAGTATTATCGTTCTTTCTGTCAGAGTTATTGATCCTTTTTGTTATAGTTCTGCAATCGAAAACAAAAGTGGTACATATTTGTACCACCACCCGTCAAAGGGTTAAAGTATCAATTAACTAATTTAATGAAGTATCTCTCGCGGTCTGTAGGGGGTAGTAATGAGTCCAAAACTTTATCGTTATGTACTTCAACATCTCTTTTACATCGTTTTTTATCAAAATATGAATAATCATAAGTATGTCTCGGGATCTCCTTTTAGTTCTAGCCAATGCACTTTTATTTATATATTTATCGGTTGATTTTTGTACATGTATTGTAAGAGATAATAGCAAAATCATGCTCATAAGAAGGTCCGGTGCAATTCCAACTATATAGATCCTAGCAACTTTTATTTTTATACCCATTGTCATAGTCAATATGTTTATTCTTATTATCTATCATAGGAAACGCTCAAAAACTGCTAATTAATTCTGGTTATATGGATGAACGACAGTTAACCATGAGTTTTCGAGCGATTTCAACGTCATTAGGTTCTTAGAAAAAAGAATGCGTTATCATCAATGTATTTTTCAAAAGATTGTTCTGGCTTTATATGAGCTGTAATACGGATATATCAGATCAAGAAAAATAGCAATTTAAATTACGAATTTCTAACCTTGAAGGTTTGTTAATTTGCAAATACGTGCTAATTTGACTTCATCTGCATGTGCTTTAATACGTTGATGAAATGGATGATACAATGGTGTTTGTGGTATACAAGAATAATGAGTACTCAGTTGAAATATTCCTTGTGTACTTGATGAAGAAAATATATCTTGATCATCATTGATAGAAAATGATTGATAATCAATTAGATTTAATAATGAACCATATACTTCATGATCTGTTGATAATTTTGGTAATGTTTCTAATCCATAATCATTAACAATAAATTTCAAAATATTTGAAACAAAATTTGTAAATGAATTTCGTGTTTGTGATTGAATTGAATCAATAAGACCATCAAAACGTTTACCACATAA